ATTAAATGAAGATGTTAATTTAAATCACTATGATTCCCCAATTGTTATTATGTTATTTAAGTTTGATAAGAAAAACTTAAATTTAATTATGCATAGTTATGGTATGTATCGTATTCAGTCAAACCTTCTGGTAACAACCGTGGATATCCTTTGACTCGTAAGAGCTGCAGGGTCTTTGATGAGTCCCCATCGTTACGCTCCTTCTTTTGCCCGATCGAGTCCTCATTTGATATCCTCATGACGGACTTGAACTTGTCATTTTCGACCTCCAGATGCGCAAATTTCGCAGCGCTCATTAGTGCCAGCATCTATCAATAAATAAAAATGCACTTCTTATACCCTGCATAAACTTACATTTTTGTAATATAAATCCGAAGTCGTTGATAGAACTCGAAAACCAGCTGCTGACACGATGCTTAACTTAGAAAACTTACTTCCACGGTGAAAACAATTTCACTTTCGAATTTCAGAGGTAACGCGTTAACTTACGTATTGCGTATCACTCCTGTACTCATTCAAACGGTTTCGATAGAAATAAAGAAATATGTAGTGACTACAAAAAGTATTGACACGAAAAACATTCGAACTGATAGAAAAGTGGCTTACTACAAAATATAATAACACTTTTGTCCAACATGAGATAAGAGAAAAGAATAATACGTAAACGTCATTGATACTATAATTGGTAACATTAAGCTGACTAGAACAACAGGTGATAATCATAAGTTTCTTCCTACATTTACCTACAATATCTTTTACTTTTTCAAGAAAACATAAAAAATAAGTGCTAATATTATTTCCTTTAGTAATTTCTTATTATCATATCATTCAACAAATTATCAGTACTTTTCGTAATCACTTTAATATTAATTCTGTGAAATATAATTATCTTCACAATTACTGCAGCTCTGAAATCCTTGTCAAAATCCACCACCGATACATTTATAAATCAATCTGTCATCCTTTCAGAAATCGCGAACCTCTATAATGTAAATCGTGTCCACTTAAAGTAAAGATTATCGTGCAGGCAGCCTCGACAGGCTCCACGCGACTGCAGTTCCTCAGAAACTCGTGAGTGCCGATGCCGAGGAACGTGAGGCGTGAGGTAGCATCGATGGTTCACTTAGAAACAGAGCGAGAAAGAAGGATAACGGACAGTAGCGTTGGCCGAGAAAGAGGCGGTGAGAAAAAGCGAAAGGACGGTGGAAAGGTTGTCGTAAACGTTGTGCAAGAACCAACATTGATCGAATTGGGACCACGGAGAGGCCGGCGCGGCGACTAGGACATGCACGTGCTGTGCCTGGGCATGCAACGCATCGGTTCGCTACGCTTTTCGAAGGAGAGCGCATACTTATTGTAGATATTTATGTATCTACGTAGATACTTGAAAGCCAGGTAGAAAAATCTTCCTGCTTTTTACAAGAAAGTAGAAAGAATATTATCTGATGGTCACGAAGTCAGATACGAAATGAAATTTTTGTATCTCTAATCTATATGACGAAACACAAATAACAATGCGTGCGAAATAATAACGAACATTTAATGAAAGGTGTTCTTTTGCATATTCTCTCGCTTCTGTAATAATTAGTATAATTAGTACGGTGATATGATAAAAATATGCACATTACTCTTCCTGACNTTAAATATCGAAATTAGAAGAAGAATGCACTATTTTTAATTATAGGAAATGCGGTTTTCTAAGGTACATAAACTTTTGGGATTGACTGTATAGCTAATACATCCTTAAAAGACGCATGGTAAAAAGAAGTTAAGAACCGCTGTACTCTAACATAAGCGGATTAGCGTGGCTTCATGTTGACGTTGAAAGGATTTTCGTTAAAATTATTTAATACAGCTTCTGAATTTTACAATCATACAAGAAAAAACAACAAAAAATCATCGAACTCATAAAATACTTTTGTATAATATCACGCTCTCAAGTAACACTTTCTCTAATATTGAGAAACGCGAATTAAAGTGAGGAAATGAAAAATGACGTTACCTATTATCCTGGTTGCGATTGAATTTTGCGTTCCTCCAAAACGGTGATCTGCGAGTGATCGCGAATTGTGCGACACAGACTGGCGGATGTCTCGAAACTTGTTTGCAGAAGTGAATTGTGTACTCTGGAAGCGAAACCCATTTACTTCCGCGATGGCACGACGCCAACATCCGATCCGTTTGCCTGTCAAAATGATTACCTGAAACAAACACATCGATGGTTCTTACCCACATTGTCATTCGCTGAACGGAAATTATTATTGGAACTAGAAATCGTCATATAACATTCATAAATCATTTTTAATTAAGAAAAATCATTCGCACAGGATAACATTTTAGATTTAATTACTGTTTGTACTACAACTTTCCTTTTGCCACTGAATCCACCTAGCTCGTCGAATTTCATTTTACAATTTTCTTCATCAACCGTCGTTCGTTATAGTGACCACGCCTTCTTAACGCAGATTTATTCCTTCCGTAATACAACAGAATCGGAACGACCAAATTCTTACTATTTTCATTTATCGCGTACGAGAAAGTGTGACCGATGTGGATATATCAGCTACGAAATCCTTATTCTACTCAATTTACTTTGCAAAGTATTTGCGCTCCACCGTACACTCTTAATTTCATGACTTCACACTCTTTTCATTAAGCCGACCGCGTTCACTTATACAAAATAGATGCACAGTATTATTTTTGTTTCACTGGATATTTCCCGAATAATTTTTCCGGTTCCTGTAAACGGGTCTCGACCTATAATGTACCGGGTTATCCGTCGTAGTGTTTCAGTTGCGCGCAATGCTATATAGATCGCTATACTATACACGACACTCGGATGCACGTGTTCTCGCGCTCACGTGCACCGGCTCTTATTGATACCTGTATTTTACAGCAGAGTTTCCCAACCTACATACCTCAAATCGCTATTTACCATCTATTATACGTAATAATCAACCTGCGACACTAAGTTATGACTATGACAAATGTTTAAGGTAAACAACGTATTTTAAAAAGTACTTTACGTAACGGAATAAATTCATGATAAATTCATACGTCATTTGTTATCCACGTGAAAATTCATTTGCAAGAAATAATTTATTAAAATTTCACATGTAGATTAGAACAGTCTGTGAAATAGTCTGGATGCATCTTCTTAACATACATCACATAATTTTATTTTTTATGGGGAAGTATGCTAAAAGTATGAAAATAATTGCTACAAAAAACGATCATTTATAAAACAGTTTAAAACGTCGATTGAGAACCTAAACGCAATAAGCGTACGCACGCGGCTACGTAACGATATGCGTCATCATCATTGCTGTGTCGATTCTTTTCGATTCAACCAAACTCTATACTGTCTTTTTCTACGTTAAACTAACAATAAAATACGATGCAGATACGATATGTTACTGTTTGTTTTTTCTTGTTTATGAGCTACAAGTCGATAGCTTTTACAGGAAGTTTAACGAACAAAATTTAATTGTATTTTTTACAATGAAGAGAATATCATTTATACCTGTACGATCTCCGACAGTCATTAATTTCATATCTCCTATTGAACTCTCTATGAAGAATAATAAAGAAATAAGTAATATCTTTGTACTATAATTGAGATCAGAATTACATAAATCTATTTACCACGTTAGCGATGTTCTGATGATAACTCGTCGATCTTTAAAAGTACAAATATCTTCTTTAAAAAGTATAATCTTTAAAAAGTACAAGTACGACTTTATTCAACAAGATATTGCCACTATCATTGATTCTTTTTAATACAGGAATACGTATGTAAAAAGAGAGAATGTACACACGAGTGTTTCACGTTACAAGCACTATGACAAACTATTTAATACTGAAGGAGAACATGTGCATTATGTATTTAAACCGAGTGGGAGTGACTGACTGATAAATTACATTTCGCTAAGGGGTACTGCGTGGTTGTACAGAAACAATAATTTAATTACTTATTTGGATTACGTGGTTTCATATTGGATTATATTTTTATAAATTCTTTGTGACGTCGCAAAGAAGTATGCAGTGCATGAATTATATATGTACATAACTATCCTTATCCTCACGTATGTCATCAGCTACACCTACCCAAAACGATTTTCGTATTGTACCATTCGTACTGATTTGTACCATGTATCACGTATCCGTGTTGTCTGCTGTCGGCGAATTGTGCGATGCACAATGCACAATTTCAATTTTGTAACATAACACGCATGTCCATGGGTAATGTAAGTGGGGAGAAATAGTAGTGGGGACAGCACGGGAAGAGGAGAAATGGGGAAAGTCCCTCGATTAGGCTTGATTAGGCTATCGCACCTCTAGCCTAATAGAAAAATAGTTGAATATTTGCAAATATTGTACATATCTAATTGTAGTGCAGTCAAATGCGGATGGGTACAAATTACTGCGACTGTTATCAATGTCATGATTTACAAACCATCTTCTCCTTTGTCCAAGATATGATTTGAAGATTAAGGTTCGGTCGTTTACAATGAGTAAGATCATAAATGAGTGCCGGATTTAGTAATTAGACCGTATGATAAAAAGATATAAAGTGATATTTAATGTACGTAAGTTCTATCACTTTTTAAACTTCAACGAATAAACTCTGAGAACTTTATTTATTTAGGTATATCTAGGTGTTCAAAATGTTGAATATACAAAGGAGTTTGGTTGTGTTGATACTGTTTTCCTTTCATTTTCATGAAGTTATTCTTTTACAATCATCAACACTTGTACCCATTGTTAATCCAGGAATATATAAGAAAGAGTATCAGCTTATTATAAATAATACTGTTGAATATGTATTGTTATATCCTACTACTAACGTAAGTGTTTATAGTCTTCTGCAGTTAACATTTCATGAATGAATGATATTTTATTATGTATTTTAATGACAATTTAGGTAACGTTAATGGAAACTGCTAGAATAGAGGTTGAAAGCAATGCCACTCATGATCAACCTCTTATAGTGGTTGTACGTCAAAAAAGAGAAATCCTATCATGGCAAATCCCCCTTGTTGTGAATAGTATGTATTTCGGTGAGGTAGAATATAATAAAACTAGTCGAACTCTGTGTTCAGCTAAATATTATCGGAGTGGATCGGATGATGAGGAAGAATTTGTGGCTGTTACATTATCTACTGTTAGCCATAAAAATATTTTTTTTAAACTTAACATGACGCAAGAATATCATTTTTATTTAAGGTACATATTCTGTTATGTGCCAATAGTAAATTACATTTATGTCTAGTTAAAGCTTCACGATCACATATCATTTTCCTGTTTTTTTTTTCCAGTACAGAGCAACCAAGAACAGTAGAAATTTCTCCGTCTCAACCTATTTATTATGGTTACAAATTCCCAGAACAGACAGGAAATCCTTCTGTAATTGTTCATGTTACATCAGATAGTGATACTTGTATGACAGTTTCGATACAAAACACAACAGTGGGTATAACTTTACGACTTCTACATTGATGCACTATCATTACTTTATAGAATACTTTTTTTAGTGTCCTGTGTTTGATTTAGAAAGGAATGTTGAATTTTCTGGTTTATGGCAAACTGTAAGCCGGCAAGGTGGTATAACTGTGCCAGTAAGTATAAAACTTTTATTTTGCATAACAGATAGTAGGTGGATTAGAGGGATAGTTTTAATTTGTGTGGAACGTTGTTCAGAAAGAAGCATATCCACTGGGCTTTTTCGTGATACTTGTAGTGAAAGGTGATGATACTGATTGTTCTGGTGTTCCAAGTATGATCTCTGCACGAAATAAAAAGGTGACACTAACAATAAATACTAGTATTACCAAAAAGGATTGTCTCATTGCTTCTGGAATAGCAATAGTTATTATCGTTACATTTTGCTTTGCTTATATCATAAGCATAGTACTATATAAAATCAAACAAGATAGAAAACTGAAGCAAGAATTACTGGATCAAGAATCTCAGCAGATCGATGACCCTATAGCAAGTCCATCAACGATAGAGGAGGTAAAATGAGTTAAATCGTGAATTCTGCGTTGTTCAAATATAGGATAATAAAGATTCTCGATGACTATTCATGTTACATGTTTCAGACCGGTACGAATCAAATAGTGTCTGCAGATGAAAATTCTTCTCTGGATGAAGACGACATTGATATGATGGAAGACGCACAGTATGACAAAGATGTGATACGAACAAAACTAGTGCTTTCAGTTTGTGATCTCGCTCGCAAAGATCCAAAAATTCTCAGGAACAAGTCTCGATTATACGTTTATTACTTATTAACGGTCGCTATTTTCTATACTTTACCCGCTGTCCAGCTGGTGACCACGTACCAGCACGTGGTTTATGTTACTGGCAACCAAGATATGTGTTATTACAACTTCTTATGTTCTTATCCGTTTCTGTCGGTGTCGGACTTCAATCACGTTTTCTCCAACATTTGGTACATCATGTTAGGTCTTCTATTTCTGTTCATAACATACTTCCGAGAGTTCAATGAAATCGAAAGGGAAAAGAACAAATGTTACGGTATACCGCAACATTACGGATTATTTTACGCGATGGGCACCGCGCTCATCATGGAAGGCATACTTTCGGGGAGTTATCACGTCTGTCCAAATCGAAGCAATTTTCAATTTGGTAAAACAATTGTTTCCTATTGACGTTTTGATGATCCTTTTCTTTATTATTAATAATGCTTTGTTTGTTCCCTTAGACACGAGCTTTATGTACATCATAGCAGTGCTGTGCATGATTAAGATTTATCAAACCCGTCATCCAGACATAAATGCCCGAGCGCCGGTTACATTTGGGCTTCTGGCGTTAGTCATTTTCATAGGATTGTTGGGAGTTTGGCTAAGTGGCTCGACATACTTCTGGATTATGTTTTCAATCGTACACTTGCTAACTTGTCTGTACCTGACAGTACAGATTTATTTTATGGGACGATGGAAAGGCAAGGGTTTGCTAAAAAGAGTAATACTGGTACTGAGTTTTGAAATTATTCGTTTTATGTCAATCTTTGTTAGGCACGGTTTATCACCTGTTTCGCAACTTTCCAGACTTGTAAACAAGATGCCCGTGCTGGAATCACGCATCTGATTCGACCCATATACCCGGCACGATTTATTATGCTCGTCATAGCAAATTTATGTAACATAGCGTTTGCAGTGTTGGGAAATATATATCACCAGAAGAATTTTGCAACGTTTCTACTAGCAATATTAATGTCCAATTTAATTTTGTATACTCTATTTTATATCGTTATGAAGGTACGTAAAAGCAAGCAGTGATAATAGTAAATTACTTATGCTTATGTTAATCTATTTTGTAATATTTCAGATTTGCCATAAAGAACGAATTGTACTTCAACCATTAATTTATATCCTTTTATCAATTGCATTCTGGTCTGCTGCTTTATATTTTTTTATAAACAAAACTATCTCATGGGCAGTTACACCAGCACAGTCACGCCTATTTAATAGATCCTGCGAACTCTTCAACTTCTTTGATAGCCATGACATTTGGCATTTTTTGTCTGCTTTAGCAATGTTCTTTTCGTTTATGTCACTGCTTACTCTAGATGATGATCTAATCGATGTACATCGAAGTCAAATACCAGTCTTTTAAGGACAATGACACAAATGAAGAGATGTTTTACACTTTTTTTTTATATCTTTGATGATATGATTGCATGTAATATACATTCAAAATTGATATTCGATCAATTAAAAATAGTATAAAATATATTGTATGTATTTATAAAGATCTTTTAGCAACTATTTTGTATTAAAAGCCCAGTTTTGATAAATAGGTGTTCAAATTCATCAATTCTTTTCATCATCTGTCCCTTTATTTTCTATTAAATTTTTCTAAAAAGTAACTGACTTTTTATATCTCTTCATCAGCCCTGAAGAAATAGCAGTGTAATACTTTAAAACTTACCTATTGGTTTCTTTTTCTCTCTACCGATAAAAATAGAAAACCTCGATGTTCGGATTTAACAATTGTTCGGTAAAAGTGAACGCAATGAACAAACCTTTTTGTTCTAAAAATAAATATATATAGTATAATTTTTATATTGTTGATTACACTTATTATAAACAAAGGTCGCGTTTTGTCACAGTTTCGAGGAGAGTAGGCAGTGATACTGTCTGACACTCGATATAATCACTGTTGAACTTCTAATTAATAAAATGTGTGTTCATTTGTTTTCTATCATCCAAGTAACGCTACTGATAGAAACAATTATTAATTTTCCAAAAAATTATACTACTCCCGTACACAATTTGCTATTAACAAGAATAACAAGTGTCTGTACAATTAATTCTAATGGAGCTACATACACCAGGTACGCAGATAAACAAGGGATTCGTTTCAATTGTCGGAGGAAACATTAGGACGAAGCACTCAACTCGTTATGGTGTTCCTGTGTAGTGTTCTCTATCTGTGATAAAGTTCTTTGCAGTTCCGCGCGCTCGCCCGGCTGTAGCCTGTGGACGATCTCCAAGATCGCGTCTAATCTCAGTTCCGGACACGTCTCGAGGGCTTCCTTTACACAAGAAATGACCGCGTCCCGTTTTACACAAGTAATGTTACGTGAGACAACACTGTTCTCATCCTGCCGTTGATTCTCCAACCAATTCGTCGCTGCCTCGTCTTGATCCCACAAATACGACTCAGTGGCACCTCTGTCTTCTATGAACCATCTACGTAACATCGCGCTCACTTGTCTGGTGTCTAAATTTCTTTGGGTCGAAACGATATCCTCCATTATTTCGTCCTCCAAAAGCCTTCTTCGAAGTCGCCAATAAAGTTGCCTGCGTGCCGTTCGCCACGGAATAATATCGTGAATGCTGTTCTTCTCAAACATTCTTTCCGGTGTATCGTGAAGATCCGCGAAGTGTACAGCGACTTGGTGATACATGGGCTCTAGAATTTCCTCCCTCTTACGTATTTGACTTTCAATTTCAGTTTTTTCTTCGGGTGAGTTTGCATTGGATAACTTTTCCTGGAATGATAATTCCAAAAATTTATCATATGCTCATAGGATAAAACATCATTAGTGAATCGAACTGACCTTCAGTTCTAGAAGCACTTTATCCACCCTGTACATGGTCTTCAGTACGTCTTTAAGTCTGAACTTAATTTCTACTATTCCACTAGGCTCCAGAACTCCACCTCTGCTTGTGTTGTCAGCAAACATTTCCATGTAGCGGGGATTTATCGTGGGGTCAACGACAGCCCAAGCACCACCTCTCAATTCTCCGTTAGGTGGAATGTATATAAATACAGGTTTACTGTATTCCCTTAACCCATCCACGATGTAGGCACCGAATTTCACAATTTGTTCGTACATGTCTGCGAAAGAAATGTGTCGTTGAAGATTGGCAATCAGCAAAGAAAGTCTAATGCATTAGTAAAGATCGAGAAGAACCTTTCATTCCACCAGAGAATCCTCTCCAATTAGCGAAGATGAAAAGTGGTAGTTCTTCCCGCGAGAAGTCTTTAATAGCTTGAGCAGTTTTGTATGCACTGTCAGGGAACCATACTTGTCCAGCCTGAGATATCGTCTTAGCTTCCGAGTCTAAATTAGCGGGGTCAGCGGGTAAATGCAACTCGACGGTTCTGGTTTCCACTGCAATCACGCCGCAAGGAATTCCACCTAATCTGGCTCGTCCGGTGACCACAGTCTGAGCCCAAGGTCTCATTATTTCCTACAAACAATTGATTAAATAATACAAGACAATTTCATGGACTGTATTTCTAAGACGGTCAAATGTATTCTCTAGACTTTAACAATAACAAATATAAATAAATGTAACATACCTGCCATGAGCCGCGATCGAAGAATCCGCTTTCCCAGTAGTTCGTCCCGTTCTGTATCCTGCCATCGAGCATCCACCTCGGATCGTAAGCTGTTTTCGTAGGAACATAAGCGATCTCCCTGTCGATTGGATCGGGGAGCGGTAACGGCAATATAGGAAGAGGCGCGCCTCTGGATTTAGGACAATAACTCAACCACCTTAGAGCGGTTTCGACACCTTCCAGATCTCTTACATCGGTAGCATGCGACACTCCATTATTATACATGATCTGTATACCACCCAACTGATCATTGCTACTGTATACCTCGCGACCTAGTACAGTGTTCAGTGCCCTGTAGCCGGTTAAAATGATGTGGGAATTTTCTATTTGTATAACTCTTTGACCTAGACGGACTATGTAACTACCGATACCGATTGCACGGCAAGAGACTATGGAGATCGTCACTATTTCCTCATAAGCCCTCGAGGTTTCTCCGGCGATCATACCGGCGTATTTTAAATTCTCTACACCGAGACCATCCTCTTTGCCGATGATATCGGTAATTTTATAACGAGATTCGCCCTTATCTTCGATCAATGTAGTTTTCACTGAATTCAACGGTGCTAAACGCGCGTAATCGTCCGGCGTTAGGTATATATACCTAAATCCTTTTTCTGGCTCATTTTCGTCCTCCCAACAGATTCTGAATAGAGCTTTCACCTCCTCCGCGAGACCGATGCGAGCTCCAGAGTTAGCTGAGAAGTATATTCGAGGAATCCCAAGTTGTCGCGCTCTTTCTGACGCTTTGTAGTACACGAGATCTTCCTTCGGGCCAAAGGAACCAATTAAATGCGTCAAGTCGTTCGCGATTAATATAATGTCACGTCCAGATACAGGATATTCCGGCGTGTAGAGCCTCAACCTCCAAGCAACCATACCGACATCGTTTTCACCAGGAAGACGTTTCTGTTCTACTAAAGTGTCACCTTCTAACACCAATTCCACGCTATCCATCACGGGATTCGGGATCTTTATGTCGCAATTTGGCCTTTCCTCAATGTAACTGTACCACAGCTTTTCCGCTTGCTGTCGGAACATATCCGGAAGATCATACGCGTACGTGGTGCCAGCACTTTGCGCTTGGAACCTCTTTGCTTGGAGATAATCTTTGGTTAAATACGGCGTAGAAATTGGTAGACCGTGCATAGGTCCTGGCCTCCAGGTACCATTCGCCGTCGCCGACGGATAAGACTCAAAACGAATAACGCCAGTCTTTAGATCGGTTGCTTCCGTGTACAGATGCAAATCTATGCTGTACCCGCTGTCGTTACCAATGCATAAACGTAAGATCGAAGTTGATTTACCGGGCGCCGGGCGAATCGTCATCTTGATCTCAGCCTGACGGACTCGCAGCTTCCACAACCTCGGACCATACCTAAGTATCATGCTGGTAACGCTTTCCTCTATTCTAGCCGGATCCATAATGACCGTGGGTATGAAGTTTAAGAAGATGTGATTGCACTCCGTACGTTTCGCCAGCGGATGCGAAAACGCGACTTCTAATTCGTCCATAGCTTCCAACAGGACACGTTCGCCTTCGTTGTGAAGATAATCGAAGCTAGCTTCTTTCGTGATGAGGTCGGAATGCCTTATAATAGAACGAATAAAGAAACGATAATCCGTAACTTGTTGACCCTTGGCAACTTTCGCCTGACCAAGGTAAAGGTGCATCTTTTGATTCGACGTCGGCAACGCTTCGAGATAATAGGTCCTCATTCTGTTCAGTTCCAGTTGGAAAGCGCAACCAGGTTCGAGGTGTCTGTAAATCTTATCCTCGACGAAACCGTCTCTGTGACGGAACGTAAAGAATTTTGGGAACTGCCTTTTCTTCAGTGCAACGAACGTGACTCTCCTTATACCTCGCGATATCAATTCGTCCTTGTTAGCAGCGCACCAATCTCCATATACCTTCGCCATGCTAGAATCGTCACTGTTCTCCTTTTCTTGGACGGCAATACTCAAAATGTGCACCGGTTCCGCGGGTTCTCCGATCTCCACTGCGGCACCAGGCTCTGCGGTACTCAAGGACACGTTTATAGACGTGCTATGCCTCGATTCGCTTCCAGCCGCGTCCACCGCCTCCAGAACTTTGGCTGAAACCGAATTAACCGAAGACAAGTCCTCCAGAAGATCGAGAATCTCATCGGAGTATCGGACAAATTGATCCATGTCGTGGAAGGCTGCCATAGCTCCGGTTCTATGATTCACTTGACACTGATTCTGCCTATTGGGGTGATTGTTAGGTAATAAAAACTGGAAATGCACAATCGGCACTTCGCCAAACAGTTCCAAATGTTGCAGACACGTCAGATCGTAACTGATATACGCTCTGCGCACGTAGACCTCCAACGCAGCACTGCACACCGTGCGATTAGAGTGATAGAAGAAATCGTGTAGGATGTCGAAAATCGATGTTTCAGAAAGGATCAATTTCTGCAGGTTTTCCGGATGGAAATCGTGCCCGTACATGTCTACTGCTGATAAGAATATCGATTCCATTTGGTTGTGTCTCAATTCATAAGCTGGTTGGTGTGCAGCGATGAGAACTTGTCTAGCACGTAACGCCACGCGGCTGTGTTCCGTGCGGTTTAAGCTTGTCAGTTCCGTCAGGGTACTCGATAATTCGTCTGTTAGACCAGGTTCGTTCGCCCACAGATGATCTATGAGCATGGTAACCAAAACATTTTTCTTCGTCACTTGATTATGACTGAAAATCATAGCCGTAACCGTCGCCAAGTCGTCTTTGTGCTGTTCTATTAAAGCCGAAACGCATTTGTCGTAATGTCCTTGTTGGAACTGGCTCTCAACGGTGTAGTATTGGCGAAGAAGTTCGTGGACGGCGGTCTTCATTCTTCCACGTATTCCGTTCCTGTATCTTTGTACCAGTTGCACTATCGGTTGAGTAGTTAGGAAGAACACGTCGCGTTCGGATCTCTTTGAAAGTGAACCTGCGTGTCCATCGATTACAGCAGCGATTTGTTGACTAGGGAACTGAGCTAAAACGGAAGTAATATTGCTTTCGTACAGCGACATCAGTTTCCTGATCTTCTTTTCAACGGAGACAGGGATTCTTCCAGATATCGTCGCGATCACCTCCTGAAGTTCGAGCAAAGGCAAAGTGGGATCGCGAAGGGAATTCATAAACTTCTCTAGAAGTTCGCGTACACGAGGAATATGATACGGATCTGGCAAACAATATCCACCCAGGGTGTCTTCCAAAGCGGTTCTGTATTTGGCGTGTAGATGATTCAATTTTTCGGAAATTGCCGGTGCCACGGTCTCCAGGAATTGACCAGTGTACTCCTGCGCTTTTGTTACCAGCGTCGGATCGTCTAATTCCAAGGTAGCGATCAAGGTACCAGCCTCGAGAACGGCGCCGGGCCTTTTAATATAGGAAACGTTGCCAGCCTCGCTCGCAGTCACTGTCATTACCATTTTCATCACTTCGATTTCCGCGTAGGCTTGCCCGGCATTCACATGGCCACCGTCTTCGACTAAAAAGTTGATCAACTTTCCGGCTGACGGAGATCTTAACAAAGACGGATCGTTGTCCTTCTCGAAGATGCATGTCTGGTTTCCAATAACGATCCTGTAGCGGTCGACTTCTTCTCTCATGTATGTCGTGAAACTGCCACCGTCCAAAGACACTAGCAATCCTCCGTCCGATAATCGGTGAACGTCAATCTCTTTATAGGAACCGTTCATAATAAGGAAATAGCTATTAGGGCCTGACTTGGCAGCTTGAACTTTGTATTTGTATCCGTCGTTAATGAGTTCAACGTCAATTACGTTATCTAAGTCATTGCTGGCTTGAATCTGCCCTTTTTCCAATGCTGTTTGAAATCCAGCAAAAGCAGCTGTGATGAATCTATCGGCGATATGAATCGCGCCGCACGTTACGGCCAATAATAGATCTGGTTTGTCGCTTCGAACGCGTTCGGCGATCAACAAATCCAGCCAAGCGGTATCAATATTGTTTTGTTGAAAGCATTCGGTTTCTAGTAACGTGATCAGATATTCAACGGTGGTTCTGAAGTCACCTCTGATGCTCAATTCCTTAAGAGCTATGACCAAATTTTCTCTCGCCTGATGACGATCCTCACCCCAAGAGAAACAATGACCGAACTGCGAGTCTGCGAATTCGTGTAGACCTCCGGAAGCACCCACTGAGAAGTAACCCCAAACATTTTTCGAAGAACGGAAATTCAGTTCTTGCACGGTACCCGAACTCGGTTTGAAACCTTCATCAGGATTTTCACTAGTGATTCTTGCTGCTATTACGTGTCCCCACGGCTGAGGCTTGTGACGCGGTTGGTCGAAATCAATGGCACTGTCTCCCCACGGACTTTCACCGTAGAGAAGGCGTATATCTTTAATATGATGTAGCGGCAGTCCCATGGCGATCTGAAGTTGAGCCGCGGGTAAGTTAACATCGGACACCATCTCCGTACACGGATGTTCCACTTGAAGACGCGGGTTCAATTCCAAGAAGTAGTAACGTCCGGATGTGTCGTAAAGATACTCGACGGTACCCGCGCTGACATATCCAACCATTTTGGCCAGTCTGACAGCGGCCTGCAGCAGAACGAGATGCACAATTTTAAGAAACGATTAAACATTTTTATCGCTGGCTTGTTAAAAGTTGTAATTACTTTTTCCATCTCCTCGAAGACCTCAGGCTTTGCGATTACAGCTGGCGCCTCTTCGATAATTTTTTGATGCCTTCTTTGGATAGAACAATCACGTCCGAACAACGATATCGCGTTTCCGTAATTATCGGCGAGTAACTGAACTTCCAAATGGCGAGCACATTTCGCCAGTTTCATGATGAATATCGGAGAACCGGGTATCTCAGTTTGTACCTGCCTAAGAAAATAGTTCAGGTCTCTTAACATATCTCTAATCACTTTCTCTGGTATTGCATTTGATATTGTGTATAAGTAATGTTCATAATAGCTATAAATACGACTTGTCTTTACCTGAACAATGCAGGCAATTCTTCGGCATTTTCGACCTTTCTGATACCCTTACCGCCACCACCTTCGCTGGCTTTCACCATCACGGGAAAGCCGATTTTATTCACCGCCGCCAGACACTCCTCCACCGTCGAAACGCACCCTTTCTTGAAAAGTTCCGAGGATATTTTTATCTTCTTTCCACTGTACTGTGCCTTCAACTCCGAACCTGACCACGGAAGAGTTGGCACTTCTGCGGTTTGTGCCACAATGCTGGAAGCGATTTTATCCCCGAGGGCCCACATCGCTCTCTCGGATGGTCCTACGGTAAAAATCTTTAATTAATAAAGAAAAATCCTATGCTGATTTAAGCAAAATTTTGTTATCACTTTTATTAAATTACCAATAAAAGACATATTGTTCTTATGAAGCAATTCTGGCAATTTCGGATTTTCGGAAGCGTGACCCCATCCCGCCCACACGGCCTGGACCTGAGTGCGTACAGCAATGTCTACGATCAGTTCAACGTTTGCGTAATTGTTATTATTGCTTCCTCCGGGTACGGGCACGTATTGATCTGCCATTTTTATGTATTCCGCGTTCGCCTTCAAATCTTCTGGCGTGACCATTACGACGAAGCGCACAGCGCGTTCGTTCTTAAACATCTCGTACGACCATCTCCGAATTGAACGCATACATTTTACAGCTGCTATTCCGTTATTGGCAATTAACACCTACGAACAGTAGTGTTTAGTTAATAATTGTGAATTCAGTACTTGAAATGAAGAGTATCGTCGATGCTCTACGGATTTTTCAACAGGAACGAATTAATTAATAAAAACTGATTACGGAAGTGGTGTAATTTAAGATTATTTGTATATTATTTGAAGCCTCCAGAATGGAATTAAAAAAATTAAAACTTCTCTCTAAGGTGAACGGATCTTGATTTGTTCGCACAAATAAACTTGAAATGTCAAAGGTGACTTCAAAGATAACACAAGTTTTTTGTTTAAGCGAGATGTGTTTTTTGGCAAGTATTACGTATACGTCGGGATATTATGAAACAGGTGTGGTAACCTACAGCTCAAGGTCCTTCAAGGTCATTCAGGGTCAAGTGTAAAGATCGTTCAGCGACCGTTACGAAACTATACGGCGTGAATGTCAGGCGACTTACTCGAGCGAAACAGGAATGACCTCCTTTTGCATTTGTTCCTTTATAAGCTTCTAACATGTCTCAAATACAATACAAATATTATGAGAAATATTATAATCAGTATTATCATTGTTCATTAAGAAGTGAGATATTTTTATCAATAATCATCGTACTCTGATATAAGTTGAATGACCTCATGTTCTTTTTTGTAAGTGTAAGTATTTATGCGATTTTTAAATATATATGAAAATCATGTTTACCTTGTTAATAACTTTGGTACCGCCGAAACGGTGAACGAATTCCTCAGGTGTAGCAACGGTGAAGTCCTTTTCTTGCCGATTTAATGCTTGTATCATCACCGTGCCCTGCGACATGCTGGGCCTACAAAATCAGGCGACATCAGTTTTAACATTCACCACTGAGAAAATACTGCTAAAGAGTAGCAGTGGCCGTGTAATCGTTGGGACAGCGAATGGGGCCCAATGGGGCTCAAAACACAGTCGGTGATCGCTCTTTCAATAGAATTTAATCCTGAGCATTGAACAATTCTGGTTTTACGAATAATTATTCGAAATTGAAGAGGCCCATGTGCCTAATGAAAAATCGGTCAAATGTATTTCCCCGGATTCTTCAAGGTGATCATTATCATCTGTTAACGGGGAACATGTGAATGACAGCAGAGAAAGTATATGAACCGTTAATTTAAGCGGCTCACGCAATGTCATTCCTGCAATTCCGTAACGCTTTCTGAACCTTCTACGTATCCCGCCTAGATAGTTTTCCTTATTTCTACATACACGTTATTGCTCTTCCCCTGTATAATATAAACACTCCGTTACGAATGATCAGGTTCTAATTCTGTGTAATCAGCATTCACAGAAGTAGAAATTATTAGGCAGACACTAGACTTCATAGTTATACCTAAATTTCATTCATTGCTAAAAATAACGCAGATTCTAAAAGAAGTTTTGAGTAATGATTGTCAAACGAGGAAATGCTCATTAGTCGAGTCAGTTTCTTTGGAATTTGTCACATCATGAGACTTTCTCGGCATGGTTAATTATAAAGGCAACATCTCTTTTAATTGAGGTACAACTTTCTTGTTTATTAAGAATAAAAAGTAGTAATAATAAATTCTAGACTGATAATGAATGCATAAACAAATGTGGACTTAGCTCATTACTAACATTCGAAGGAAACGCTTTATGATTCTCTATCAGTCTAATCGTGACTAAATATCGCATATCGTGATGTTATCATTATTCTCCATAATTTATCATTTCCTATCGCGAAGTAAGATCTGTGAGCACTTATATATAGCATTTCTATATTTTCTTATTATTATCTGTTTTAATTAAGAACGATAAATTGAAACAACATAGTTTATTGAACCAAGCTTGGCTCTTCAGGTAGTCAAAGTCCATGTTTCAATGTCACAATGCTGCGCTGTTGTGTACGGTACCTTTCACACACGCAAGGAGCTAGTCATGCATTTCAGAAATGAAAAGTATCGTACGTCAACGAAATTCGATGGAACATCGTATCCATATATATGAATAGAGAACATCTTCAAAAAACAACGTGTTAATTTATGCTGTCTCTCACAGTGATTTGTCATTCTACATTCGTATTCCAAGAAGATTATTCTAAGATTTTCATACATATTTGAATTTGTATTATGTTATGATGAACATTTCAATTATTTTAAAGTTTATCAAATTGTACAATCGTTGTTAGAAAACTGATTAAACAAGTTCCTGGCCTTTCCCCTTGACCACCATAATTTAAAGAGAAATAAAATGTTAATTTGACAACGTTTAGAGAATAAAATGCATTACGTTAATCCAGTGTTCGTGGTTTGTTCTTGTTCCTGTTGCTCCATCGTTTTCGCTGATACGACTGGTGCCGTTGAAAGCTGCTCGTTCATTTTCGATATACCAGCGATCAGGTTGTCGGAGCTCTTCCAAATCGGATCCGTTTCCGTACTTTGAGCCAACACGAATCTTTTCACGCGTCTCATTTTCGTGTGTCCCTCCCATCGAACCACCTCAACCACAGACTCTTATTACGACATCTGAATGATGCACCAACCGGACGGGTGGCATCAAACACCAGACGATTGGAATTCCAAAACTCCTTAACGACTTTCCAAACGCGATCCTCATCACACGTTATTGTACAGTATATTTTACCGTTACGTGAAAACCTTTCGTTGGGTTTTCTCGATTTCGGGTTACGACCATTTAAGCGACGCGCTGTTTTCTCCTGCGTTCCTGTTTCCGTTAACTCGCTTCATCGTGCGATTCAACAACAATCGCGGTTGACTCTGACCAAGGTTTCAGATATTTTGCTTCCGGATCAAATACCGGTTCGCGAGACAATCATGGTCGTTCCTTCTGTCCTTCCATTGAAATCGCTTAGACAGTAACTGTTCGCAACGCGCGAATATTTCCGCAGAAATTCAACCGAATCAGCTTTCACCGATCTTCTTATCGTAGCTTTGAGATCTTGCACGCGAGCGCACGATCAACGTTGTTCAGCGTTTGAATTTCTCCTCACATGTGCGCAGCTATTTAAGCGCGTCCGAGATTCTCTGCGATTCACACGAAAAAAACTTTGACGCACTGACGGTGTCATTAACGTTAGAATGAGATTAGCACTGATCATTCTCACCGATCCTTGATCGTTGATTCGATAGACATCCGAACACGTAGCAGTCACACCTTGCAGGTGAATCCTCCTTTCCGAGCCAAGCGATTAACGTTTCAATTCTCATTTCATTCGAATTCTTTCACGCATATTTCGCTTCATAAGCGAAATACATACCATGACTCACGTTTAGCAGCACGACGAAGAAAGTTGGATAAACAAATCGTGAACCAGTTTCAAAATAATTAAACGTTCAACGACGTGATTCGATTATCAATTGTATCACAAGCTTTCGGTGCAACAGTATTGATGATCCTTGGTAGTAATTATGGAATTATGAAATCAAGTTTCGTATGATGTTTTGTCGCATCACTGGAATATGAGACGACGCACTAGATCTTCGAAGAGAATCAAAATCTTTCATCCAACATCGTTAGGAGACTCGTGCTCACTGACGGTACACCTTTCATTCGTTCCAATGGTCCCCCTACCTTCGCGACGCCACTACTCTAGGAAGAAGCGTACTCGTAAGGACAAAAAAAAACAACCAAGTTTTTAATTCATCATTTCCACGAACGTCCTACCTTGATTAAACTTAGCTCGATGATCACCGATTAACGTGATCGCAAAAATTCTGAAGGACTTGCGAACAGATGCGACGTAATCGCCGATGTAAGCCAGGTAAACGAATTTTTTTTAAATCTGACATATATCATTAAACTTTTTATTCTCTCAGTTTCTGAAACCTGTATTTATAAGTTTTAAGAATGAACAATTGACTTTAATTAACGAAACACAAATACTATAATTTAAAGATATTATAAATAAATAAAATAATAAAAGTCTGAAATTTTTGACACGTGAAATTATACGAAAAAATTGTGGGATTAACGTGGCTAAGAGATTCGAGAACTGTGTCAGTTGTTTAGGAGTGTATTAAATCCTACGACGTTTCATAGACGCGTTTGTATTCGGCACAGGCCACTTCCTGATCGAAATTAACGGACGAATAATAAACGATTACTTAACAGACTGAAGAGTATACATAGAAACGTCTGTAGTTAAGTATGTAACAGGAAAATTGCACGTCACAAACGTACACAGTGCATGGGACGAACTTTCATTAAAGAAACTCGTACGCATCTTTCGTGTTTAGAGATAGCAATGAATACGACCTCCGGGATTATTGCAGATACTTAAGTCGAAATAATAATCGCCGTAATACGAGAACGTGTGTAACGATTTCAAACAATTAACTGTTGCTAATTACAGCCGGAAACGAAACCCTTCTTCAATTAAAGGAGATCGAACTGCTTTAACAAAATGTATTTGTAAGAAATACGATTTTCAGTAGAATATCCCGTAGTCGTACTAAAAATGAAACTCAGACATGACACAGCCAATTCGAGACATCGTACTTTTCTCTTAATCGCAGTTGCATAATCAAACGACATTACGAAGTTCAGGTTACACTAAACCATCCATCAAGCGAGAATCTCGTGCATTACGAGTTTTATTTGCATATTTGGTATTACGCCGTGCGGAGCCTCCGTTCATACTAGAAATTTAAACCGATGGTAAGTGTTGTGCGGTTCAACGTTCAAAGTCTTCTTCGCTGCGACTCCGATGTATTTTATCTTGAGATCAACGTTATTGACAGTGATAATTGTAAGAACTGCATTTACATTACTTTGGATATTTTCTGTATTCATATTCCTTGCAAATGTATAAAAGATCATTGTTCAGTAATTCTCAATTCAAGTTCTTTAAAAAATTTCAACAATGGATATATTGTGGGTAATGTAATCATTTTATTCTTTTTATTGAACTCTCTGGATAAGAATATTACGTTAAAATTATGGCAAACCAATAACGGTGGCGTTGAAAGTTCATTGCTTTGAGGGAGTTATGTAATACAGAGTACAGCACAAAACGAGCAGTCATTCGATTCCATTGTTTAATGTAATTCATTCAGCAATAAGAAATATTCAATTTTGATTAAGATTCTGTAATGACGTAAAAACTTTTCTCGATTGACAGTACTTAATGCAATCTAACAACTAAAGTGATAATTAACAGTTTTTTATGTAGTTACATAATTTTTCTTTTATGGCCTCCTCTAGAGAATGATTTTTAATGTTTTCTCTCAGATAATATTATCAAAATTCACGGACAAGAAGTAATCAGTCAAGATTTCACGCGAAATCTTAATGTTTATTAAATTCAACAATGTGTATAACGTGATTAGTTTCTATTTCTTAAGTGATCAATTTTATCACAGAATAGACGATATTTTGTCAACATTAATTTATTGAAAGATAACGTTTATGAAGATGAAAAATGCGAGTCCAGAAAACGTAGTAAAACGTAGTGAGTATGAGAAATCAGAAGTTTCGTGTCCAAGGATGATTATTCACGCAATGCCAGCAGAAATGCTTGTGAATATTCAATATGAGGTTCCAGCAAGTCAATAAGGTGACCATATACGTACGTAATGCGCTGCTCACGTAAATAAGAAAAATGTCTTATAACATGTTACAAAATACGAGTCCGATCAATCAGTAACTTCGAGAATCTAACAATAATCGACAATTACGTAAACTGCATGCACGTAGGTAGTAAATATTCCAGCTTCCTAAACGAGTATCAGTTTCTCGATTATCCGTGGCATTCAAAAACTTCCCATTCATGTCCTATGGTATGTGTGAAGATCATTGCCACGGTGAAGGGCAATTATTTTCTTGGTACAATAGATGTACTTCACAGGACGTTAACGAATAATAATCGCGTTCTCACGCGACGATCATATCCAAACCATTGTAAAACATGTTACTACCAAACGAAGTTCTGTCTGATCAAAATTTTCTATCCGACATCTAAGTCGATCAATTTTCAACGCTTGTGTTTGAGTCTCTATGTACGGTTTTGAAGAAAATTAATAAAAAAAAAAAACGGGAGAAAAATTCACCTGAGCCGTTTGCGACGCTCGACCAGGCCCGGCATGTAAGTCGGATGCAGCAACCCATTGGTTTCGTGTTCCCCGGAAGGGAAACTATCGTCCACCTCCAATTGCTCGGTAGGATCGTTGAGTTCATTCTTGACAGAATCATTGGCTTCGCTCTCGGGATCCCCGACGATGAAGCTGACTGGATTTTCCGACATGGTACCCTTGGAATCGGCGAGATCTGTCTCACTCTCGTCTGCGGATTTCTGCTCGTCGCCTGCCTCTCTGTTGCCGCTACCTTCAAAAGATCCGACCCATTCGTGTCAAGATCGACCGCTACTTTACATAAGACTTCCATGGTCCTTCGTGCGTTAGAGTCTTACGTCGTTGCTACGTGATATTTACAAGTGCGCGGTAATGTTCTCCTAATAGCAACTTTCGTTTCCGGTTTTAGCACTAAGGGCCACTCGCTAATCATTTGTCTTTTAATTCTTTATATTCACATGTATCGCAATCCACTTATAATTTATTGTACATCGTTTCAGTATTTATATAATTACTGCGAGCGACGGTGCTTTTAATCCAAAGGATCCAATATTTAGTTTCAGAAAATTAACGGAGAGTGGCCCTCAATTCTTGTGTTCTTCTAAACAGTTTCGTGACTGTAGCCAAAAGAGTAAATAGTCATGCCAAATAAGCCACATGCAGTTTCCAGATCCACCAAAACCACCCTTCCTTGCTCGGACTCGACATAGTTACCATTTGCATACGAAACGATTTCGATTAACCGGCCAACTTCGGTGTTCAACGAGCCCAACACGGAAGGAAAGACAAGCAGGCGAATGACATTTTTATGAAATGCATCAGAATTATTAGTTTTCAATTCAGTGATCATGAATGCGTAATACGTGAAACATATTTATATACAATTAGTTCAGATATTATATGTTAGCTAACCAGTGTGCAAAGTATGCTTTACCTAGGTAAAAAATTTGTTAAGATTCTCAATGTTCCTCGGCGTTTATGACGTACGAAATGAAAAGAAATAAATAGGATCACGTGCTACGTGAACTTATTAAATTGTTTCTCAGAAACGACCGGTTCTAAAAATAACGTAATTCCAAAACATTTTCAAACACGTTTACCTGTTTACTGACCGTATAAAATATTAATTTGCATTATTGTCGATACGTTAAACATTGAGGGGAAGAAACTAATAAGTTCATACTGTGCGATAGCCAAGCCATTTGCAGTTACATGAAAATAATTTGCCTTTACAATATTTTCTCTTATCACAGTCATATACACATATTTAAATAGTTTATGAACTGTTCTTCATATTGCTTTTTTATCAGTTTCACGTTCATCTAACATTATAAAACATAGCGCGGATAACGCTATTCATAGATATTGCAAATCTGGTTTATGAATACAACTGTACATTTAAACATGACACTTGAAACAACGCGATTCTCTGCATCCAGTGAAGAGGTTTAGTAAACATACCTCTGCACATGGCTGACAAGTTTTAACAATACTTTCAGAAATGAACAAAAAGGAACTAAAAATAAGTCGTTTGTAAAGTTAAAACGCATCAAAGTCATTATGAGTTAAAGTGAGTTTTTGCCAATGTAAAAAAGCGTTTATTTTATAATGAAATAAGTGCATTTTCTTGATAAAGACCAGAAACTTGTGAACAGGCGCGTCACAGTGAGTAAATGGACTAAACATTATTCAAGTATAATAATTACACTCGCACACGGCAGTGTTTTTTCAAGTCCAACAGAGATTAGAACTTCGTTATTTAGCTAGCAACTCGTGAAATGAAAATTAGTTACGCTGTATGAAACTTTTGTACTTGTCGTTTATGAAGTTCGAACGAAGAAATGACAATCTTAGGGTCGAAATATAAGATGACAAAGGATTAATCGGCACGATCCCACGCATTGAAATACCAATGAAGATGAATCGGTAGCAGGGGGTACACAGAACAGAACGATGACGAGCCGAAATTCGAAAAACCAGCTGTTACTCACCGTCGGTTCCTCTAATGAACAGGGAACGAAATGCTCGAGAAATGTCAGACCACCACCCTTGCACAGGTCGATCCGTGAAAATGTGTCCAAGACGAAAGTATCGGCGTGTTATCACGGCGAACGATAAGCCGAGAAGAAGATGGGTAAAGAGAAGAGCAGCGGAAGGAACGCTTCGGGGGTCGCTTTGTGATTCTTGATCGAGACCTTGAAATTTAATTCGGAGGATCAAGCAGTTTGTTCGTTCCACCCCCATGTGTTCCGGTTAGTGTAATTAGTGATTCGAGAGAGTTAGGCACGAGTCCGTGACGATACGATAAGGAAACGGTCCGAAGCATTCTAGTTGGCTCTGGTATGGAATATTACGTGAACTTTGAACATCTGATATAATTGTGGCACAAGGGACATAAAAGAAAAAAATAGTGAGATATTTGTAAATTTTAGTGGCGCGGCATAATTCGAATTGAAAGGGTAGAATGGGTTCGAATAGACTTCACGATAGGGTTTGTTAGAACGCTTCAGGAAGAACACATGCAGGACACAGTTCGAATCGTTTGCTCCGATAATACGACGAAAGAGTGTGATAAAAGTTCATTCATTAAGAAAAGACCTCTCAGATGCATTTTGTACAATCTCGCTATCATAGAAAAATAAGATTCTGTTCCTTCTATTTCCGGTCATACCATCGATATTACATCACTGCACATACATAAAATTCTGGAATCTGGTAATTACGTAATATGTACAACCGATACATGATATTATGTTCCTGTATAGACAGTTTTTATACTGTTTAGTACTTTCAAACCAGGCGCCTTCCGTATGACTTTCACTATCAGTATATTCCAACTTTGGCCCTTCGATTCGAGAACGAAAAGTATACGAGAAGCGTTTTAAAAACTTTGTTAACACTGATAGATCCTTCACTCAATACCAATGAACTTTCATCAACGTCGGAACATCAGAAATTGCAAACGTTTCGTATCAGATCCTGTGAAGTGTCCGTCGCGGGGTAATAGATTCCAACGATTCAGGAAACTATCAATGTACCGAAAAATGTATCCAGAAGGCCCCGAAGCATACCAAACGCAGCTCGTTCCGTGGATGTCCGCGTCCTTCGATCAGAGTTCTCTTCACTCTTTTCTGTGTCCCCGGCAGCCTCCCCTTGCCCTTAAAATTTTCACAACAGGACAAAAGATAAAAAGGTGTGAAAAGTGGAATCACGTGGCGTTCAATTGGTTCGAACACCCTTCTCGAGTTCCCCTTTAAACGTTGTTATATAAATCTTTTTAAAAACACACTCGCGACTTTCGTTTTATGCTTTTCTTGGCAGGATCGCGCTATCACGAACGACGATCCCTCATCATCGTCGCGGTTCTGTTACTACTTTGTCGCTTGACTCGGCGACGACGAGACACTGTGCGGCGTACACGCGGCTCTGTTCCCGCTCATACCGCGTCACTTTTAGTGAACACGCGCCGCCCGCCGCACACGAGGAGAGGAAATCGGAACGCGGACCCCGTAACACAGTGTACTTGCGAATGATACGAAGAGAGACAAAAAAAAGACCGGACGGCTAAGTTCAGGGGTCGTCGGACATCGACGACATTGTATTCGTTTTCACTGAACTTCCAGCGAGCCTCGCGACCGATTTCATCGGAACTTTTCTACCGCGCGTGGAGCTAAGTACCGCAGACCACTACTGTCAACGTTTCTTTCGACATTTCTTTCTCTACTGTACAGGTATGATACTCGTTCCTCAAACACGTTTCAACGAGGAATGGTTACTTCCTCTCGCGTATTATGCTTTGTACTGTTCGATCGGTGAAGTATTTTGTATCGGCTTCATTTGTAAGACTGATCAAATTTTCGTTGCCGTTGGTCCTTTTATTGGGTCAGAATGCTTATTCTTGTCCTCGCTTCTATCGTCACCGTTAGTTTCCAAGTAATTTTATTTGTGAGCCATTTTCGTGCTTCGATTCTTCTTGAAGGACGGTGATCGTAATATCTCATTCGATTCGAACCGTTTCTTGATTCTGAACGATATTGACGTCGTTCCCTTAATGAATTCCAATCGCTATAATTATGTTCCTGGCTTCGCAGTGAGCTGCTAAGATGTGGACATTACCGCAAGAAGAAAAGACGCAATGTAGGTATCGTTTATTCACACATTCTGACGTCCACACGTGTGACTATAACTATAGAGAAGCTCGTAATCCAGGTATGTATGGATGTCGTACGACGGCCATGTTTCATTATGCAATGAACAATATTTACATTGTATAAACATTTTTAGAAATTCCTATGCTCATTCAATTTAGTACAATGTCAATTCGAGTGTTTAGATATTCTCAAGAACAATCATGTCTTTTACGATTAGAAAATATCGAATTTCGAATTTTAAAAAACGCGGCGCATTATTTTATGTCACTATTCCTCAAATGAGTGCTCACTAATAAAAAACTTCCCGTGTAAAGTAAAATTTAATTATAGAAAAGTTATCTGTTTATCAGTCGTAAGGAGGGATGCCTCGGCGATAATCGCGTGTAATCTAGGAAAGAACGATGTCGTACTTGACCGCGTGCTCGATCCGTGATTTTGACGAAGAATCGTACGATATTGAATCACGAATCGAGAACCGGCCAGTAACGTGGTTACTTCGTTATCAACGATACATGTGTAAACCATGTATCTAATGAGGCTCATCGTGATAAACCCGAGCGTGAATTCGACCCAAGTGTCCCAATTGTTATGATTTCTTTTGATCGTCATACGCACTGTGTTCCCCAATTTCTTTGTGTTATTCAAAACCAAATTCTATGATCTGATAAAATTAAATTACATGCACAAAAATGATCGAGTAGTTACCATTTTCCCCAGATGTTAGAAAAATTAAATATGCATATAAATATGTATAATTATTTCTAGTAATAGAACTGAAAACAGAGTTATGTAATATGATAACTTTTAGACTTATGTAACGAGATAAATTATATTTTTCTTCACTGACCTTCCCGCTTTCATTTTTTTCGAAGTGTAAGAGACATTGAGTGACAGTGAAAATAGCGAAATATAATACTTAAGTACAATTTGTTATATAATTTATGTTAATTATATCTTGGTGTTGAGGCTACAAGATGTCTTTCAATGCGAACGTATATACATGTTTTTACTCAGTTTATTACTGATTACATAAATAAGTGGACTCTTTTCATTAATAATAAAAGCTTTCCGAAAGAACTTTGGCTGTTTCGAAATTCGTTTACGTACGATTGTACGAAGTGAATTTACGATAATAATGTACTGTACTGTAATTAAGAGTATACATATATATATAACCGTTTATCGATAAGATTGGAACCACGAGTCGAATAATGACCTACAATAATTGCAAGTATTCGACAAAATATCTAGCAAACTATAACCATTTATTATCTACAAGTTCTAATAAATAACGTCACTATTACGTTCCTGAACATTTTTGATAATTGCCAAAACATTTAATCATTACAACTGATATCACTGGATTAAAGTGGAAGTGGCATTTAAATCTATAAAAATAATCTAAAAAATTCAACGACTAAAACTTATCCTGGTTGATTTGTCACGTGAGTTGATCAATCTAAAAAATTGCACGACTCGCAATATCAGTCATTGATAAATACGGTATCGATTATTGTATAATTAATGACGTAATTTATTATATGCTGACATATATCAAGTAAATTTCCGGGATAATACAAATTCTCCGTATTCGTCGTATGTAATTTCATGCGCTTTCAGATCGATAACGTATAGGATCGTGAAGTATACACCAAGCTACTTTAATGTTAGAACTATTGAGTGCAATCGTTTATCGAAATTCTATATCCTTCGGATTTTTTTATTTATCGTAAATTAACATGCACAGTAATATTTATGTAGTTACAAGCAGGTCACTACAAACGTCTTATGTTTGTTCGAATAATAATAATATCAGCAAAGTTAGAAAACACGAACAGATATAAGGGAAAGTAATGAAATAGGTAAAAAAACTGGCGACCTAATTAAGCCGAAGGAGTATTAATTTATAAATAAATTGATTTGTCATCAATGGAATCGTGTCAGCTATTAACGTAATTTTGACTTCGTGAAGCACTACGTAGACAGGCGGGAGTGCACCCTTTATCTAATAAAAACGCATTAGCGGTACGGAAATATTACGTTGGAAAACGATTGAGTTTTCCTCAGCCCGTATTCTAATTATTTATGTATATTTAGCGGTGGCAAACTCTATGGATTTTCACGCAAGGCAATCAAAAAATTGACAGAGCCAGTCTGATTGGTCAATTGCAGTGTCAGGCGACGCATACCGTATTTCGATTGGCCTGTACAAAGCGTGCGGTGTAACCAAGTAACACGCGTCACCAACCGATGTATACCGACTGTGACTCTTTAACGTAATTGTATATGGAAAATTCTTGCGTAATTTCTCGATTACTAATTAATCAGATCTAGAATCGCCGTAAGAACAGTAAAACTGTACACTTACCGGTGACGAATTTTACGCGGCGGTGCTGCACGTTCCTCATTGAGGTTAGGTTCCCCTGTCCCTTCGTGTTCTGTCATTCGATATGCTTTTCCTCACGATTTGTCACGAAAAAACGTTACACGGCACTGGTACTGACTGATTATAGTTCGGTAATCATTGAACGTACTCAATCACGGTGTAAGAAACTATTGTCACCTTTTAAACATGGATTTTTAACTTCCGCTAAGGCACGTACACCATGGCGCAACATGAAGAATTCGTATACCGACACTGACACCGACACCCCACCACCTTCTAGGTCCGCTGTTGATTTACGCACGGTAAAGGTCTCTTATCGATAGGGAAAAACCTTTCAGTATCATGCTCTGTACCTAGAGGTCACGGCCCCAACGTTGTATAAAATAGATATCATTTTGACATGGACACGACGGTATTCGATACGAATTTACTCGCAAACATTGTTAAAAAGGTACGGATCATTACCTAAATTATTTTACATTATTACTTATGTATCCCAGAAAGATATTTTCATTTAATTTGTTGGAATGTTCGATAGATGCTCAATTATTTTAAAGAAAGGAATTCGAACATATCCCCGAAAGTTACGTACAGTCACACAGATGTAACATTGTCTAAAAATGACACAGAATGTTACACGATAAGAGTCACGAATTACGGACAGTCTACGAATGACGTCTTGTTATCTTCACATAAAATCTTTTGGAAGTTCGTTTCTGAGAGTACAGTTTTTGAAAACTCAATAATTGCCACAATATACAACTGGAACGAACATACCGATTGTCACGAAGTACTGGATCTGAACTTCGTGCAAAATCGTTTATCGTTGATAAAAAATACAAGTGATAAGAATCATATCGATTTCTCTAATCAGAAAAAGTATTTATCGTTTCTATTAAAGGTAAAAGATAAAGCCTCATGATATGTATGTTGATATCAACAAAAATCTGAAGTACATGTTTGTTTATTTTATGTATCATAGGCAAAATTGATGTCCTCTGAAGTAGATAAATTTACAAGGCTCGTAATACATGAAATAATTTCATTACAACAAATGAAGCCTGATATAAAGTTTACAATTCACATAGACAAAAGGATTCTATACAATAATTATGTTGCGCTGGATTATGATTACAAATCAAGTCAGGTGCTTGCTACTGCATTGACAAACATCATTAGGCAGAGTTTAGATGTTACATTTAAGGAAAAATGTTTTTCTATGCTAAACGTGGAAAATTCGCACGAAGTTGAAAGTGCGCTCACGGTTAAATTACTACCATTAATACATGATAAGTACGCGTTTCCCAGTGTTAGTTAGATAATTCATAATCATAAAAAGGGGACACACAATTATTCCTATATCGTGAATTACTTTTAACGTATTTATCGTTTAGTGATAACATTTGCTCTTTCTTTTTTTTATAATGGAAAAATTGTATTTCATGATTTATTATGAAAATCTGTCACAAATTGTTCTCTAATTTATATTAAGTATTTAAATACATTTGTGCGATAAGAGAAATAAATTTCATATTCATTACATTAAAGCGACTGATCGACAATTGCTTACAATTTTTTCATTATGAAAAAAGAAAGAGCAAGTGTCATCACTAAACGATAAATACGTAAAAAGTAATTCGCGATGTAGGGCTAATACTTTATTTAACTATTCCCGCCAACGATCACTGCAACTGGCAGAATCCTGCGCAAGTGTAGTTGCGCAAGAATAAGCATAGCATTTATTCTTCCCTCAGTCAAGACGCGAGGGTCAGGTTAGGCACGTCGGGCTGACAGCGGAGAGTGTCGTAACGGCGTTTCGTTGTAGCCGATAAATGAAGGTTAACCTCGTCGCGAAGCAAGTGAAGCCCGCGGACAAGAGCGAAGGGCGATGCCTCAACTGAATTGTTTTCAAGATCTCCGTATTGGTTTACGAGTCTCGCGGTAAATTAGCCAGGGACAAACATGGCTCGCGTTCCGGCGGACGTGTGTTTTTCTTCGTGGTGAAAAATCTTCTCCGTCTCCTTCTCGTCCTTGTCCCCTGTCTCTGTCACGGCAGACAGGGATCCTCAACGTTGGAATTGCTGATATTAGTCACAGCAAGTAAGTAACTCATACATCTATCTAATGTAACACGCGGCTTAACGTATATTAATATACGCACGGCAAGGGAAGAGGAGCTTCCCATTTGTTAGTATGCAAGTGCAGTTTCAGTGCCCCTTACGTGGCCTTATTTGCACTTGCGTACGGTCGCCGCGCGAAACCAATCAAAAATGACTGATCTCATTTTCGCATAATTGTTTTTCGGAGTATACTGTTCACGTATGTAACATACATATGTATGTACTTAAGTACGTTTTAATTCTTCATCGTTCGCAATGAAACGTATCGTGTCTCATCCTTGATGAGTGTCTCTCTGTGTGTTCGTCCGTTGCGTTATGTGCATGTGCGTGAAACGGTGCAGTAAATGGCGGAGGATGTAAAAGAGCTTTCCTAGCTACGATGTGCCAGTGGAGAATTATCGGTACTGTCGTTACCCTGACATAACCGCCGTTACGTATTTCCCCTCGTTCGTGGTTTCAGGTGAGAGTCAATATTCCAGCTGTTTGTGCGCTTCTCGCTTCCTGCCTCTATACGTATATCTATATTTCATATTACGCTATCGAGACCGATCGCGAGATGTAAATACAGTTCGTGCATTATTTATTTGAACCATTACACCGACGCGGTTTTGTACGCAAAGTTCATTGCACCTAACCCCCTGCGTTGCACCGCGTGGAACGAATTCACGAAAACCTTTTAACGGGTCTTATAACCTCAAAAATTTGAAGGTACTATTATCGCATATTTGAAATATAGATGATGACAGGCATAGTTAAAGGAGTAATCAACTTTCATATGCCTCCTCGTTTTTATTGCACCTGTTACATTTGCGTGATAAATTAATAGATATGCTTACTCTAGCAAATTATGATTAATTTCTCGCGAGATCAATCAATTAATTACATTAATTACTTTCATTATATCATGTCATTAAGAATATTGTGCAGTATGAACAAAAGTATGTACACACAGGTTGAACAATACTGCGAATTGTGGATTTTCTGTGTTGATTTCAATCAAAAGCCGGGACGTCAGGAAGAAAGCGTAGTGACGAAGTGTACAGTGTAAATGATAGCTGGATCCGTGCTTGCGAACGTAAAAATGAGAATTTAGTTACTTCGTACGTAGGAACTGAAGTGCAGTGTAACGCGATAAGGGGTTCTCGTGTGTACGATGCTTAATTAGGTTCTCATTGTGTGCGCGTACATTGCACAACCGGAATCGGAGAAAAACGATCCGACGCGGGTTGTAATTAAGCAATGGGATGTGGTTGCGCGTGCTGGAACATCACCGCGGCGGGAATAACAATACGCAGAAGGCGGGAGAATTCGTGAAAGAAAAAGTTCTACCGCGCATAACACGCCAGCATTCGCATTCCAGCTGCAACACGCGCCGAAGATAGTAACCTTGGCATAGTAAAGTTATCGGTACGACGTAATCTTCTCCCTGTTGAAAAAGCCCCACCTTGACTCGATTCGTCTCTGTCAAGCTCGTTAAACTTTAACAAGTAGCATGTCAACGACATCGTGCAATTATTTATTTAGATCGCTTTTAACCTAAGTGCCACTATAAATTTTACGTAATAAAAGGCACCATGTTCGTTAAAGATTTCATCGGTTATAGTATTTCTTCCTGTGAAAAACAGGAAATGCTTCTACCTCGATTTTTTGTTATTAAGATAGCAGAAAGGCAGTTGCCAGTTTTGACTTACACGACACGGAAGCCTAAACATATGTGGATCGAATTAACTTGTATGGTTTCGAAGTTATCGATCGAATTTAGTATTAAAGGAACTGGCTGAAACTTTTCTGCCTTTATGTATAAATTACGTGCGCGTATCTCCTTACTTTCTAAGAATATTTTAGACAGAATCACTTTTGTAATAAAGTTTTTGTATGATCGTTGCTTTAATTGATCCGATCTGCCGATAAGTCTCGTGTCCGTAAATATTTAAGATTTCGATGAACGGTAGCGGATGTGGCATAGATTTTTTACTTGCGGTTTTCTTAGACTTTTATTTTCGTCGTTTCTCGACCGAACTACTGTTGCGCATTCCTGGTCGAAGTGAAAAACAAAAAGAGACAGGAGAAGAAGGCAAGAAAGTAACTGTCAGTTTCGCTCGTGAATGTGCAACCGGATGTTCTTAGCACGAAAAACATTACATACTGTCTGTGAAAGAGCGTCTGTTAATTAGCCGTTGAAGGAAAAAGCTCGATGAACGGTGCATATGTTGAACGCCAACTTGAACGATGCTCATTTTATAAATTCCTTACCTCCTTTCTTTATTCTTAAGGAAGATTATTATAACTGAAAATTGAATTTAGAAGGAATCGATAACTTTTAATTTTAAACATAAACGTAATAGACATTGTAAAAAATATTGTAAGTCATGTATAAATATGGTATAACACGACAGACAAATACAGGCGAGGTATTCGAATAGATCTATCATTTTACGGATTATAGACGGAACTCGAATTAAAATTCTGATCCAAATTGAAACCACAGTCCGAATCCGAATCAAAATCATGATCAGAATTAAAATCGAAATGGAAACTACGATCCTAATCATAATCAGAATTAAAATCGGAAACCTAATTAAGTGATAGAACATGTACGAGTGCAAGCCCTCAACAATTGTGAACAAGACTACCGAACGAACCATCGAACTCATTGAAGCGTGAAAATATAAACAATATCGAGGAGGCGAAGTGATGCGCTCGACGGTCGGCGAGCAAAGAAGCTCAGGCCTCCGTAGGCTTCCAAGCAGTCAAGCAGAACTGCAAGATCATTAGTTAATTTCGAATTTTTTCTTTTTCCAATCTACATACTCGGTCTTCCTCGATTTATGGTTAATCATGAGTAACTGATACAGTGATTTTAAAAGAGGTGGCTTTATATTATAGTCACCCCCCAGGATTGGTCATTTGGTCATTTGGTCAAAGATCGTGAAATAAAAATTCTAGGATTCGTTTTATTAATCAGAATTTATTTTTACAATACGTTACTATCTGTCCTACTGTATTGAATGTTAGGATTGCTTTCCTTAATTTCTTAATAATGTTGTAAGTAACATAGAAATTGGAATGGGGTGTTAGATGTCCAGAAAACAGGAAGCACAGCTACAATGGTGGATAGGTTTACTCATATACTTAGTCTGTCATTGAAGTTCAAAAGAATTATTGTACATACACGTAGGTACTCGTAGGCCGTGGCAAGGCCATCAGATTTAAAACAGCAACTTCACCTGACCGCCTTCGATACAGTAAATATTCATGTTTCACTCGCGCGGCAGTGTTCGAATGAAAACTTTCCTTCGCCTCGCCTTCGCGTTCTCGATTCACGGATAAGATCACCTCGGGCGCGATCCGTAAAAATTAATTGTGACCACTATTTTCACTTTTCTTTGTTCACTTCTCGAGTCAATCACCGTGTCCAAACTTTTCTTCTTCTCTTGTACAAATTAATTCCCGTGCTAAATACATAACTGAAATATTCAAAAGGTGTTACAACAAACTGTAGGATTTGCAATCTTCATAAAAGTTTATTAATTGCCGACCTCGTAAAACAAAATTTTCTTTACATCTATCTATAAAAATAAGAGATCTGTTCATCGGTTAAAACTACATAGAGACTGTCTGTTATGATGTGATGATAAAGACGTCTGAGGACCATGGAAATTGTTTGCGCAGAAGAACGTGAAAGAGAAATAATGGTTCAGTCGAGAGGAAAGTAAAATTCTGCCGTCATCCTGGCTCGTGGCAAACCAGGCCACAGGCCTGGATCCTCATCCTCCTCGTCCTCGTCCACGGAGAGGTTGCAAAGGATGCCAGGACCGGCTCAAGAGAGACCTCGTGCACAAAGACTTACCGACATCGAGCCTCAGGCTGCAAAGGTGAGTGAACCAGCCTCTTACCATAATTTTATTTATATTGAAACGATTAAACTAGGGAAAAAACGTATTAAGTACATCCTCGTAGAACATCCTCTGTTTTATCACTATGATTTCAATAATTTTCTTTATATTGTGCATCTAAACGTGGAAGAGATCAACTCGAATAGGATTTTTCAGAGGAACAGGAAGTGAAATCTTTTTCTAAATATTGTAGTGACGAGAAGTTTTCGGAGATTTTTGTATTGTAGCAAAAATGATAAGGTAACGCTATTATGCTTTACTTGTCTTGTTCCAGTTTTGACTTCTGTATTGTCCATAAAGTGAGACGTAATTGCCTCTGACAATGAGATTTAACGCGCGTTTACCACAAATTGT